TAAAAAAGGGCCCCTTAAGTAATTTAAGCAGTTCTCTGCAACTCATTGTATAGAACATTTTTTTTTTTTTTTTTTTTTTTTTTTTGGTGGTGGTGGTGGTGAGTTGTTTTTGTAATTTTTGAGTGATTTGTGAGAATGAATCTTAACTAGACTTTTAGTATTATGTTAAAGACTGCCATCAAAATTATGTTTCTAGATCAAGGTCAAACTAGGCAAAATAATTAAATTCCAGTGTTCTATTCGAGGTCATGTTTGATGAATAGCTTAAAATTTATAAAAGAAGCCTTTTGTTTATCACATGTTAATTCTTTTTAAAATTCCAGTTTTTTTTTTTTTTTTTTTCCGAAACTTGGATTTTGAAAGAAAGATTTTAATTTAGTAGAGAGGTTGTAGTAAATAAATTTATTCTGTTATAACTTTCAACTTTGTATTGTATCTTGACGTATATCTCATATATTTTACTAATGTTGAACTTGTAAATTGTCTTGACTATAAAATGTCCATGTTTAATTAGAAAATCCAAATGGACGTGTTCTGCTCTTTCGTACATTTAACGGCATAAAAGAAAGTGAGAAATTAAGAGTATATGCAGAAAGAAAAGATGTACATGTAGTAAGAGGTGAACACATTTTTTATTAGAATCCATTTTTGTAATGCTTTAAAGTTTGTTTGTTTGTTTTTTTGATGAAACTGGAATGCACTGCTTCCTACAAGGATTGACTATTCTGCCAAAAGTAATTTTTTATGTCGTAAAGCATTTTTGTGTTATATTTATGGACATTTCTGTGTCAAGTTAAAAAAAAGAGCAGTTTAGTGCACATTTTCACCTAATTTATTGTATCTGTAATCAAATTAGACACTGAAAAAGTTTGTATCTCAATTTTTTTAGGCCAATGTACTTGAACATAATAATAATTGAATATGGTTTTTTGCAGGTTTTTTGAGGTCGCCACATTACTTTTCTCAATCAATAAAGCTCCAGTGTCACAACCACTGCATTAATATAACAGATGAATTCTATCAAAATTGAAAACATGAAATAATACATAAGCCCCTTTCTTCAAAAATCTTTTTTCCTTCTTCGAATTTGTAGCCGAAGGTTATGGGTGGGAACTCGTGGACAGCATTTTCGAGTAGCATTATAGTTCTGATACCACTGAAAACCCACCGTGTTAAAAAGCTGATGCACGTTAAATATGTCAAGACAAATTCCTACCGTTGGCAAGATTAGGAAGTTTGGAGAGTAGGTTGTGTGTGTGTGTTATTGTGCACACACAGTGCCTGCACAGGTTCCATCCTTGTCACGTGATCTCGATTAAAAATTACGACATTACAAACACTCACTTAGTCAGTCAAAGAATAAGCTCCACTTATAAGTCTGAATTTTTTAATAAGACAAATAAAACCTCGTCATGATCGTCGCTAGAGCAGCTTTCAGAACAAAAGAGATAATTTTATGCATATAAGTCATTTTAACATTTACTTATCTGCTCTATTACGTCGACGCAATAAATCAAAACGAAATCAACAGTGGTCACGTAACCTTATAATGACAATATCAACCAGTTAAGCAAACCCACTAAGTATTTTCTACTCTAAAAAGATAAAATCTTTAACACCTACTTTCAATTCTATTTCTTAAAATTAATTTTTGGTTAAATTTAATGTTTCTTATTCATAGGGTCAACTGATGATGTGTTTGGACATGTTCGAGGAGGACACTGTCCCACCCAGTAAGCCCAGAGAAATATCCATGAGAAAACCGGAAAGGTTCGAATATAATTCTTACGTTTTGACATTCACGACAATATTCAGTTCTTAAAGAGTTGTTAAAGTATCCGACTGCGTACGAAGCATTTTCTTAAAAATTGAAACTTAAAGATTTATTTGTGGTTTTCAGATTTGCTTAGGATAAATAATTTGAGGAAAGAGACACAGAAAATAATTGTACAGACAAAAATTTAATATCAGTAATAAATAAAACGCAGGTGAAAATTTATTTTAAAAAAATGCATAAACACGGCTCACACTGAGTCAAATGCTTAAGAACAAATTTTCAATTTTAGAACATTTAGAGGCTTCATTAATATTCAGTTTTTAAAATGACCTAAAAGCTGAGAGATATTTAAATTTGTACAAATACACAGAACAGTTTATCACATTTACTATTTGAACTCATAACTATTTCTCAACAATCCCGTCTCCGTTTCAAATTTTCCGAAAAAAAAAAACTTATTTTCCGTGAATACCTTTTAAGTCGGTAACTGCACCCTAGAAATGGCATCCACTCTTAGTAAGACAATTGTAACTTTCATTCTAGTAAACCGAAAACAAAAAACTCGGTATTCTTAAACACCTAATAAAGTGGTCTCCAAAATTAAACCATAAAACATTTTCGTCAATTTTTAGCGAAATCATTGATTTTAAGATGGTTTAATACCTTAAGACTTGCATAGTGTGTGAAAATTATTATTATATTCCCAAAAATGATTTACAATTATCTCCTTTTCTCTCATGATTTTACTGCCCGTAATATTCGTTCCAAAATTTAAAAAGATTTTCTCAAAACGCTTAATTTTCCTTCCATAAAAATGATTAAAAATAAATAGGAATGGTGTGTGTGCAAACATCTGAATTCTAGAACAATAATCGGATTGTTTTAATATAATAAATGACGACAAAAACATTTCAAAAATATTTGAGCATTTGTATTTCGACTAATAAACACTGAATATGAAAAATATTTGTCTAAGATCAATATAGCTTCCGTCTACCGGCGGGAACGTAAATCCTATAGAATTTATTCTAACATAGACTAGCGCATCCATTTGAATGAGATAATTTGAATGAAAATTTCTCCGGAACAATACAGCTTCCTTCAATATATTTGAAAATATTTCTTAATATTTCTTAACCCTTTCGCGACGGGTGTTTCATATATACAACAATCTCAAATCCCCTTATCGGGCGACAGGCCGTTCAATACCTTGGGGACGGTCAAGCCTGTAGAACCAGTATGAAACGCGATTCACCACTGCATCATGCGGCTTCCGATGACACTTAGGGTGGATGCATATGTGACAAATCCGTCTGTGTACAATGCTTTCTGTTGATTAATACGTCACGAAAAGGTTAAAGGTCCAAAACCCTACACACAAGTAATATAAAAAAAATATTAAGTCAATTCCTACTTAGATCAACAAAGAAAAATTTTATTTTAGTCACTTTTTATTAAATAGTTACAATTAATATAAATATGTATATACATATGACAGAATCACAATATTAAGTGGAATTTAATATTTATTAATTATCATCAACGTATCGTATTGTCGTCCAAAACAATCGTGTCTATAAAATTTCAGTTCAACTGAATGCTCTAAAACGTGAGGAAAAAAAAAACCTTTTCAAGTTTTGACACAAGTAGCCAAAATCGTCGCTAAGTCGCCAAAAATGATGCCAACGTGGCTGCATTTGTATTTCTTTAAATAATTAGTTTTAATCAATTAATTTTTATTAATTATAATTGAATTTTGTATTGTCATCTAAAATAATCATGTATACAAAATTTCAGCTCAATTGAGCGCTTTAAAATGTATTTTATTAACGATCGAAAATTCCACCAAGATAAATAAATAAAAAAATATAGTGTGACCTAATAGTAAGAATTGAATGAAACATTAAAATAGACATAAAAATATATTTTCAAAAATCAGAAGTAAAATAGCTTAATTCTACAGAAGCACTCATTTTTCTAAAATATTTACTCGTTAATATGCGTTTATTGCATTATAATTGATGCACAAGTCTAGGCTTGAAGAGGATAGTAAAAATTCCATAAAATTAATGCTACGTTCACGTATTCAAAAAGGCCGGTAGAAAAAAAAGCAAAGTTTTCTGTTTTTTTTTCAATGTGATGATTTCCTTTTATGACTTTCAGATACGAGTTACGTATCATCATCTGGAACACCGACGAAGTTATATTAGACGATGACGCATTTTTCACCGGCGAAAAAATGTCGGATATTTACGTCAAAGGGTAAATAAATAATTTTATTGTTTTGTTTCATTTATTTATATAAATGCCATTGAGCAGAATACGTGATTGGATAGATGTGCTAAAAATGCATTAGTGCATACTGCGGGGGTTGGTAAACCAAAAAAATTTGCTTTAACTCTTGAAAAAACGAACAAATAACAATACGGAAAATAAAGATTTCTACTGAAAGCATTGCCAAGATACAGGATTTTTATGGCAGCAGAAAACGCTATACCTTAAACTTTAGCAGATAGGAGGCATTATCAAGAATTCACCTCTCAGAAGCAGCATTCTGGCAATGATCTTTTTATTTCTACATTATCACATGATAACCTTGTATATTATCACTTGTTTTTTTTTTTAGGCAGACTTTCCCCGCTTATATATCTATCTATCCAGAAATAGAAAACATAATATATGCACCATATAATGAATTTAAATATAAGTGAAATAAAAATAAAATAAGATTGTTTTCAAGTATTTCATCAATGAAAATATCGAAATAGTGTTATGGAACAGCACATATACTCTTTTATGTTGGAACTATTTGTGTAATTTCATATTTTCCCCCTATTTTTAAAATATTTTAAAAAGAATTTCGAGAAAAAATTTTTAAAGAATGATTAAGGTTAAAAAAAATAATTTTGCATTATCCTGTGGACAGCGTTTTCATTCCTCAACGAGGATTTATGCTTATGTTTAGCAATTTATATAATATTTAATTTCGTGCTAAATAACTAGATTAGGAATATTAAAAATTTAAGATTTTGAGGGGGATTTTTAGTTAACATAGAAATTACTGAATTTTTTTGAAGTTATACTTCTTTTGGGGCGCTAGAGAAATAGGATGAGGGTAAGTTTTTACAATGCGCGTGCACCCCGTCTAGAAATATTCAGAACGGGACAAATCATTCCCGCCTTCGAAATCAAAAAAAAATATTTCTCTTCACTTCCCTGAAAATGGGAGTACCCGGATTTGAACCGGGGACCTCTCGACCTGCAGTCGAATGCTCTACTACTGAGCTATACACCAACGTCCGCTAAATTTTGCTTTGCGTTCCGTAGGAACGGATACGAAAATGCTTTGTCTGGAAATATGCAGAGAACGGGACAGATCATTCCCGCCTTCGCCCCCCTCCTTATATTATTGGACATATTGTCCCTGTGCGGGGATGTTTAAATTTATTTAAATCGTGATTATCTCAGGTTTGATTAGTCCGATTGACTGAAGGTTAGTACAGTTCAACTCTGCTCGTGACCGTCTTCCGTCCTTGGCCCAGCTTGCCCTGCTAAAGAGTTTTAGAAAGATTTTAATCTTGTTACGCCAAAGAAGTATAACTTGCGTACATAAGTACACACACACTTTTTTATTGAACTATATGTGGTTGTTCATTAATTCTTTTGTGATGTGATGCAATTTGTGTTCCATATTTTTTTTTTAATTTTATCATAGAACAAGATAAATTAGTATATTTTACGGAATATTATAATATCTCAATAGGGGAAAGAATTTCTTGCGAAATTTTCTAAAATTCTACAAGTTTTCAAGTAGAACAGTTTTTGTAGCTTCTGTGAAAACGAAACACCATCAGCACAAAACTATTCAACAAAAAAAATAATAATAATAATAGCCGTGTTTTCGAGTAGGAATTAAAAATACATTTCAATATAATCAAATAAAAAAATTTGATCAAAATTTTTATGCGTCGCATTCAGTCAATATTTGCTAAGTATTTTTAAATAACATAGACCATTAAAAAAATATCCACGTTCCATTTTTTTAAAAAAATATTTAATATTTCCTTGAATTTAATCTTCGAAGCATTTTTTGCCGTACTTTAACAACGCTAAGTAATTTAGGCACATTTCTATGGAACGCGCTTTGGATCCCCTCCTCCCCTATACCTTGTCTGATGTTCTATATTCATATATTTTTTTTTAATTTTAGGTGGCTGACTAAGAAGGAAGACGCTCAGACAACAGACATTCATTACAGGTAAAAATAGAAAAACGTTTTTGAATTCTAATTCTAGACAAATCTACTCAAAAAGGTTTTCTTTTTTATTAAAGACATTTATATTTTCATCATGTACGCAAACAGACGTTGAAATATTATCTAACTCATTTATCCTCGAGTTGTATAAATACTTTCTCCAGATTATTCTAAAACACGTCACTAGATTTGTCTTTTTCTTTCCATCTTTTCAACTCTGGCAAGGGGAATTTATAATATGTTGTCTGGCCTTATTTCATAATTACGTATTCGTAGCGACTTTTCATTCCACCATTTGCTCTCTCTTCCTCGTTTAAAAAAACAGGTTTTTCTGCGCAACGTTTAAAAACCACCAGCCTAGAAGTTATTCCAAACTGTTTCTTATACATTTAACTTTTTAAAATAACTTTTTAATTAAAAAATTAGATTATAATCTAATAAAGCGATTATAGAAGGTAAAGGCAACGCCTCACATAATATTAACTTGGAGAAAGAAAGCTAAAAAACAACAAAGAACGGCAGCACCGGGCCATTAGCAACTCAAGGATATCTGAACCCCATCTCGGTTATACCTAACCTAAATTCTATCTTTGCTCTTTCTAGAATTAAAATGTAATTATTCAAGACAAATCTGTCATTTTCCCTGTGTTCGTTCCAGTCCTTGATACAGCATTTTATTAAAAACAATCGGTGATATATCAAAGAAATGACCTTCAAGTTTAACTTGTAATATTGATCTCAAACTAATTGAATAGAATTAGGAAGTGAAAAAGTGAGAGCAGATTATATAAAAGTGAGCAAGTTAAATGGTTATCTTAGTCATTGTTTGGAAATATATTGAATATTGAGGGGAAAACAATTCTCAACTTTTTCTTTCAAATAATTTTAAAAGACCAGCGGTTCATATCAGAAAAAAAAGAGAGAGAATTTTATTTATAAATGTTTTATAATCTCTTCAGTGATAAGGAGTTATAATTTTCATAGCATTCTTTTTATTAAACTTTTTAATATCGGAATAATGAAAAAAACAAGTAATATAGAAAAAAAAATTTAAGTCTCAATTCCTACTTAGATCAACAAAGAAAAATTTTATTTTAGCTACTTTCTATTTAATATTTACAATTAATATAAATATGTATATACATATGGCAGAATCATAACATTAAGTGGTAATTAATTTTTTTAATTATCATTAAAGCATCGTATTGTCCTTTTAATTTCAGTCCAACTGAATGCTTTAACACGTAAGAAAGAAACCTTTTCACAAGTTTTGACACAAGTCGCCAAAATGGTCGCTAAGTCGCCAACGTGGCTGTATTTGTAATTCTTTAAATAATTAGTTTTAATCAATTAATTTTTATTAATTATAATTAAATTATTGTATTGTCATCCAGAATGATCCTGTATATAAAATTTGAGCTCAATTCAGCGCTTTAAAATGTATTTTATTAACGATTGAAAATTCCACCAAGATAAATAAATAAATATACAAATATATAAATAAATAAATAAATAGAAGTAATAAAATAAATAAATAGTGCGAGCTAATAGTAGGAAGTGAAAAAAGAATTTTGAAATAAATGAACAATTTTTTACAAAAAAAAAAATAAATGTTGATTTTAGTTTTTAGGTATCTTGTTGCCATTTAACTATCGTAATCGTAATAACGAACTAAAATGTAATCACAAAAATTTAGGATAAGTTTATTTTAATAACGATAATTCAATATTGAATGAGAGTAGAGCTTGTGAAAGAGCCAGTTAAAAATCTCTCTCTCTCTCTATGTGTGTGTTCTTAACTCATCTCTTAAAAACTTTCTAAACAAAATGCAAGGAAATATTTTTTTCAATACATAAGTGAAAATTTATTTCTATGAGAGCTACTGCTACCATTATTGGCGTATAATGTGCAGAATTGATAGCATAAAAAAAGAATTTTTTAGTAATGAAAAATAACTACTGCGCCCTCTTATAGTCTAATTTTGCTGACACTTTTTACCATGAGCTTTATGTTAGGTTTTCGAAGTTAGAGCAAAGAAGATTTTTGATGGATATTATGTTCCTCTTACGCCTTTATTTTAAAGAACAAAAAACTTTTATTGATTATTGGAGGGAATAAAAATTAATAGCATCATAACTTTAATAAAGTAATGGAAGTAGATGACCTTTGCTCTTTTCTAAACTTAAGTTTCGAACAAAATTTCGTAACTATTTTACATTTCTGTAAGTAATTGCTTGAAGAAAGGTATAACTGTTCAAATTTAAGACAAAATGGCCGGTTAAAAAAAAGAACCTTTTAAGGTATTTGCCAACTTTTCCGAATCAATGTCTGACTAATTCAAAAAAAATTTATCTTTGTAATTTTTGAGTAACAAAAAAATTAATGTGCCAGAAGGAAAAAATTTAGTGAGATAGAGAACGAGGAAGGTCAACGCTAAGAAAGTGGGGAATTTTGAGTATTTGATAATAAGTATTATTTTAGAAAAATAAGAATCAGATTTTTAATGCCTTTTATGAAGATCATATACAAATATATTTTTTTGTCAAAGTTACGTTACTTAAAGCCTGATAACTCAAAAATGTATAAATGTTTCTCTTTTTTTTTTGTATACATGCTATTTACAGTATTATAAGACAATGAACTAAGGATTTAACTGTAACATCAATACTATTTATTTTTATTTTTTAACAGTTTATTGTTACGAGCACCATGCATTTTATAAAATTTTCTGTAAGAAAATGTGCAATGAGCCATAACTTTTTGGTAACTTTAAATATGTTTATGATTTTAGTTCATTGCCTTTATAACTGTATTAAATATGTGTTGGGTAAAATAATAATTTATATGTATGACTTTCAATTCCATGCAGACTGTTTTGAATTTCGGTATAATTTTCATCATATTTTACCTAAAGCACTTCATTTTAATCCATTTAAATTGTCATACGGCTTTCTGATTGGTGTTTTCCATTAGTTTAAGTTAAAAGCACCAATAAAAGAACATAAAATTAGAAATCGCTGGATATTTTAGAAAACTTGTCTCCAAACGAAGGCAGATACCTTAAACTGATGAATTATAACGTCTAGAAATAAAATTGTGTCCATTTTTTCTTTCTCTTTCCTCGAGATCTCTAACTGGGGAAGGAAACTTCAACTGGCGCTTTGTTTTTCCCTTCGACTACCTGTCCATCGAGCGCAAGCTAGTAGTCATGAAGAAGGTTTCAATCTTCTCCTGGGACGAGACCGAGTTCAAGGTACAGCCCGTCCTCGAATTACAAGTGTGGGATGCAGATCATTTGTCATCGGATGACTATCTCGGTAAAAATTCGAAAAATCTCTATTTTTTATGAATGATTTTAAAAAAAGTTCGACGATAAATGAAATTAAAATTATTTATAAGATGACACACTCCCCAACAAACAAAGCAAGCCCAAAATGTATCTAAATATTTTTTTTTCCTGCAGGTCGTTTTTTTTTCCCCTAAACACTACTTGTCAGTGTTATTAGTAAATCTATTTCCACCCATTCGCTTTGAAAATTATCTATGCAAAATCATGCAAAATACTTTCAACGTCATCGCATTCAACTCGACATTTCGATTTTATCGCTTTTCACGTCACGGGCTGAAGATCGTGCGGCTGATGAATTAGAAAAGAGACTTATAAGCAATCTCGTAAGCTTTTGAGTATTTATCTCGATCTTTGAACAATTTATGTCGGCGTAATGGAAGGTCAAAATTGAATGAAGTATTTCTAACCGACAATTGAGATAACACGAAACATTGACGGTCTATGTAATGATCAGCTAAATGATCCAAATATACAGCATATTCTATCTTAGTAATTGTAAAAGTATATTTTTAAAAAGTAAGGAACTGGAACTTTTTTGATATAATAATTAAATTGCAAAGGTAATTGATCTATCTCTGTATATGTAAGAATAAAAAGGGGCTCATTCACACACTCATCACTATATTTCTGGAACTATAAGGCCTACAGATTTGAAATTTGGCATGAATATTTCATTTAATAAATAAAGATC